TTTGCATTAATCGAAAGACAATTTAACAAAAGGGAGAAAATTTTACGTAGTGATAACGGGGTTGAGTTTAAAAAGTTGAGTAACTACCTACGTGAAGAAGGAATTATTCATCATACCTCAATGGTTAAAACACCGCAACAGAATGCTAGAGTAGAACGTAAGCACCGTCACATTTTGAATGTAGCTCGTGCTTTACGTTTTCAAAGTTTTCTACCCATTGATTTTTTAGGTGAATGTGTGCTTGCTGCAACCTACTTAATTAATAGAACCCCCTCACGTGTTCTTAGTGGCAAAACGCCACTAGAGTTATTATTTGGACAACCTCCAGATCTTAGTTTGATACGAGTCTTTGGATGTCTTTGTTATGCCAAGGAGCTCAATTTGCATAATAAATTTAGTAGTCGAAGTCGTCGGTGTGTTTTTCTCGGGTATCCTCTTGGGAAAAAGAGTTGGAACTTGTTTGATTTAGGAACCGGGGAATATTTTCAGTCACGAGATGTGGTATTTTATGTGAATATTTTTCCGTTTGTTAACAAAAATGAGGTGCTACATTTAAATCCGACATATTAGAAGGTGAGCTGGAGAGTGTAACTCTTGATGGAGATCGAGTCATTCATTCTGATCCTTGTGGCACACAATCTGTTGATCTTGAAGCAGAACCTTTGAACATCATGCAAAGCAACTCTCAAGTTGAAAAGGTAACTTCCCAAAATCAAGAAGAAATCTTGGACCCAGAACAACAAGCTAGAGGTGCACGAAGTTGAAAATGAAGCACACGATTCTCAACATGGGACCAATTTTAATGAAGGTGAACAAAAACATATTGCAGAGGATGTCACTAGTGAAAATCTTGGTAAAGGAAGATGAAAGAAGTTTCCAAATGTCCGCTACCGAGATTATGTTACATATATGACGCCGGTTCCCCCCACAGATGCTACACCCACACTTGCTTCGTCCCCAGGTACTCCCTATCCTATAACTCATTTTGTGAACTGTAATGCTTTTTTCTGTTTCCCATCGTCGTTACCTTGCAGCAATTGCAGCGGAAAAGGAACCAACCTCCTTTAAAGAATCAATGTGTGATCCTCGTTGGAGAAAAGCAATGGAAGAGGAAATAAGAGCATTGGAGGACAACCAGACATGGAGTGTGGAGGATTTGCCTCCTGGGAAGTCCGCTATTGGATGCATGTGGGTGTACTGCATTAAACGTCGGTATGATGGTACTGTTGAACGATACAAAGCACGATTACTTGTTTTTTGTAATTATCAGACTGAGGGAGTAGACTATGTTGAGACCTTTTCTCCCACAGTGAAAATGGTGATAGTTCGCACTCTTCTAAAAGTAGCCGCAAATAAGAATTGGGAATTACATCAAATGGGTGTGCACAATGCATTTCTTCACGGTGACCTCAATGAAGAAGTCTATATGAAACTGCCACCTGGATTCAATATCGACAGACCAGGAAAGGTATGTAGGCTTCGTAAATCTCTATATGGTTTGAGGCAAGCTCCTCGTTATTGGTATGCAAAACTTGTCGCTGCTTTATGTGCATATGGATTTTGTGCTAGTACATCTGATCATTCCTTGTTCGTGTATCAAAAGGGATGTATTAGTATGAGTATCTTGGTTTATGTTGATGATTTGGTTATTGCTGGAAACAATAGCACAACCATTGCTCAATTCAAGGCTTATCTTAGCAATCGGTTTCATATGAAAGATCTGGGAAAGTTAAAATACTTTTTAGGCATTGAAGTTGCTCGTAATAAAAGCAGAATACTTCTCAATCAACGTAAGTATGCTCTTGACATTTTGACTAAGACTGGCCTTCTTGGTGCAAAACCTGCTACTATTCCGATGGAGGAAAATCACCGCCTGGCATTGGCCTCTGATGAACCATTGTCTGATCCTTCATGTTATCGATGTCTTGTCGGCTGCTTAATCTACTTAACTATTACACGACCTGAACTATGCTACTTGGTCCATATTCTGGCAAATTCATGCAACAACCAACCAAGTCACAATGGGAGGCAGCACTTCGGGTTGTACGGTATTTAAAATCTAGTCCCGGACAGGGAATTTTGTTGAAAGTTAATTCTGATCTTACGTTGGAAGCCTATTGTGATGCAGATTGGGCTAGTTTTCCTTCGAGTAGACGCTCTATCACAACTTATTTTGTATTTGTTGGTGGTTCGCCGATTTCCTGGAAAACTAAGAAACAAGCTACTGTCTCGCGCTCTTCTGCCGAAGCCGAGTACCGTGCTATGGCATCCGCTACATGTGAGATCCTATGGTTAAAAGCTTTGTTAGTTGAAGAATTTGGGTGTCTTGCAAACATCGTCAGTTCCGTTACACTATGATAGTCAAGCTGCTTTACATATTGCACATAATCATGTGTTTCATGAGCGAACAAAACACATTGAAATTGATTGTCACTTTGTCCGCGATGAAATTCTTCGAGGGACTATCTCACCTTCTTATGTGCACACTTCGTCTCAATTGGCTGATATTCTTACCAAAGCTCTTGGTGAAGCAATTTTCAGGAATTATTATGCAAGTTGGGCATTACGGACCTTCATGCTCCAACTTGAGGGGGTATTGGGATTATTTTATTGTATTTAATACTTTGTAATTAACTAATTATTAGTCCCACCCATTTGTTTTCTCTAGGACAGACATGTGTTCTTTAACTTTTCAGTTGCCTCCATTTGTGTATATAAATATTGTACTCTGCATTGATCAAAGACAAAATGAAATTTCTTCAGTCTTAATTTCTTTATAATACGGTTTAGTCCAGTTAAACCAAATCAATATGCCCACTTTTAAGCAATTTACCGATTCCTCATTACTCTCTTCTCTTCATCATTCCATTAGTGAGCTAAAACACAAATTATTATACAGATATTACTAAGTAGAGACGGTTTGATAAAAAAAGTGAGCTAAAACACAAATTTCCAATAATATGACCTAATACACCTGGCCGTATAATTAAGAATTGATACGCAGGACTGGCAGTCACTTTCAATTTTAGTCACTTTTAATTTTGGTCACTTTCAATTTTCAAATAGTGACCACCCTGTCCGGTGACTGTCACCGTTGCCACGATTAGTGCCCGCCAACACCGCCGTCCCGTTCAGTGACTGCCGCTGCCGTGCAATCTGGTGACTGCCGTTGCCGCCCCGTCTAGTGACTTCCGTCAACGCCTCGTCTGCGGTCGCCGCCCCATCCTGTGACTATCCCTGCCGCCCTGTCTAGTGACTGCCGTCGCTGCCCCGTCCAGTGACTTTGGTCGCCGGTCAGTGATACTGCTGCCATCGTTCAGTCAGTGATTTCCCTCGCCACCCCGACTAGTCCGCCGCAACCCGCACACCCCTGTCCCTGCCCATTATAGTCACGCCTTCACCACCACAGTGAAACCGTACCACCCTACCGCTGATTCTGCCCATCATCGTGCCACCACCGCCCTGTCCCCGGCTTGACTCCTCAGCCCCCAGCCCCCTCCCCCTCCCCAGCCCCCAGCTCCACCGCCAGCTCCCCACCCCCATTTCTCTAGCCCCAATCTCATCTCCCATGCCCCTATCACCCAAATCCCTGGACCATCGCTACCCCCGCCACTCCCCAGACGCTGCAACATCGCCGTAGATCTAGAATGGAGGAAGCGAGCAGGCCTGTGCAGAGGACAAGAAGCAGGCAGATTCAAGCTTTCTTTCTTCATTTGAGGAAAGCAGGAAGAACAGAATACAACAACCGCACCTCCGCCAGCGGTGGCGGCCCTAAATCGGAGTCATTGCCCTTCAAGATGGCAGATCCAGCACCGACGGGCCCAAAACCGAGTCGTCACCCATTGAGGAAGGTGGATCCAGAACTTTCGGCCTCAAATCGGAGTCTTCGTCCATGGGAGAAGATAGGCCTCAAATCGGAGTTTTCGTCCATGCTGCTGTCGACGACGGAGGTTAAAATCCTACCATTCGTGAAGGTAGATTGCGCCAGAAGATGGAAACTGTAGGGTCGATTGCAAGGGAAGCTGAGGTCTGTAGATAGGAGGAAGAAGGAGGAGTTGAATGGTGCGAGTGTGTGCTTCAATTCGCTGGGAGCGAAGATGGAGAAAGCTGCGTTGGGGGAGATGAGATGTTCGTTGGATACCGTGAGATGCCGAATGGCCTAGCATTCAATGACTTGCGGCGAATGAAAGGGAAGCAGCATGCGTGAAGGGAGAAAGACAAACAAGTCACTTTTTTGGAATGTATGAAAAGGGTCATATATTTAGAAATCAAGAGTCAATTAGTAATAACCGGGAATTTTTTTCTAGATTTTATTGAGTTATTCTAGCAGAAATGATAAAATAAAAAGTAAAGTTTGTATGTGAGATTATATAGGCCAAACATAAATGATATTATTAAGATTCATTTGGGTCATCATTTAAAAATTGATTAAGGAGTGGTGTGGCATAGCTGTTGCCAATAGTTATAAATGGCTATATAGCCATTTGGGAGTGGGTTGGGGGGTAGGGTGGTGGTGGTCTAATATTTCTCTAAATACCTCAATTTCTATATATCAATTTTCACACATCCATTTAAATATTTTATTCTACTCTCAATTTACCAAATGCAAGTAAAAAAAAAAAGAATCTGATGTGGGGTTGACACTTGACATAAGAAGAATATATATACTCCTAAAGCAAAAAGTGAAAATTTTCCAATCAATAATGCTTGAACATTTTCTAATGAAAAAAAGAGAAAAAGAAAATAAATCGCAATAGATAAAATTAATGCATAAAATATTATATTTTGAATTCACATTATTGTGTATTGTCTTTATGTATAACGGACTTAACCAAGAAGATAAAGCTCATGTTTGGGTTTTGGCGTTTCATCCATCAACACCCGGCAGGCCGGCATATTGCATCGTTCAAGTATTGCATAAGTAGTGTTTTGGAGTAAAACGCCATTACCTAAACAAACCCAAAGTAATTCAGAGTGACAAGTGATAACATTACCAAATCTTCAACGTATAAGAAAATCATTGTCAATAAGTATAGACTTATAGTACAACTACAATTACAAGGTTCAATAGTTATTCCAATTCGCTATTTTTTTTTTACCTGGTTGGAGACCAAGAAAGCTTATTGGCTTTCTTGGAGTAGGTGCCAGGGAACACCCTACCTGTTTAAGTGTTTATTATGAAAGAAAACTTACTACAAAGAGTAGGAGGATTATACCAAAACCTACTCAGAATCAAATGCATAAGGATAACCAATTGCATCAAACTTTAAGATACCAACAAAATGATTAAAGTGATGATTCAAGGTTTTTATAGAAATGTTTCTAAGAGCCAAATACTCCGTGCTCTATTGATCTTTGGATGGATATGCGTGATTGTACAGTTGTAGTTTTTGAGCCTTCTCTGGATCTCTTGTAGCTAGTCCAGTGCTTCCAATGTTGAGGTGACAGTCCTTTCATTCCTTCGTAAATGTCCTTATTATCAACCTCAAGAACAAAATTAGACACATTAGTATTAATGATGTGGATAATAGTGTCAATGATAGCATCATAAGAGGCTATGGTCAGATCATGACTATTATGCGTGCAAGTGGTGGGTGGCCAAAATAGTTGCCTCATTCATCACGGATTTTGTGGCGACCAGCGGGTTGCAGCAGTACGGCACAGGGTAGGGGTAAACTGCCTTGTGGCAAGGTTTATTTTGTGGCGACCAGTGGGAGGCTTTGTCCAAGACTTAACATCTAAAGCATTATTGGGCTTATAGGGTTTAGTTATACAAATGGTGAAAGGGTTCTGGGTGGTATTAGAGGGAAAAGGTTTGGCATTGGAAATGGCAAAAATTTCAGTTTTTATAGCATGAACTGCCTCAGGGAGTTCCAATTCTCTATATCATTAACTTATGCGCATAGCACCATTATCATGCACCCTAGTGTTTTCATACACATGTACGATAAAGATGAAAGACGTAACCGTGCCGTTAGTAAACGGGGAAAATTGGAATTATACCATAACAAATAAAGGTTATGACAGTTAAGACTGGTATTGAAGAGTTTTCCATTGTATTTTGCAAGAGTAATTAGTCATTTCCACTATCAGCTTTAACTTTTAAATCTTCCACTTTGGGTGCACAATTCGTATTCCTTTTGACCTTTAGTCCTCCCACCTTTATTGAAAAGTACCTTTACAGGACAAATAATATTTTTAATTCTTACATAACAAAGCAGGGAAGAAGCATATAGGAGGGCTTTCAAAGAACACTTCAGTCAAGTCCTTAAATGAGATAGCACTTATGGATGGGCTTTCGTGTTTGTGTGATAGCTTTCTTTTCTCCTAATCATTTATAAAATGGGAGAAATATAGTTTTGGCTAGAAAAGAAAAGAAAACAAAAGATGTATTGAGGAAATCATGACCAAAATCAAAGAGGAGTAGAGGACTACATATTTAGTGCACCACTTACTGCTATATCTAATAATGTTACACAACATAACTTACTTCTGCAGCCCTAGTCGAATCATGTCATATAGTGATTTTATTTTACCCAAGTGTTACTTGAAAAGCTTTTAAAAAAATAAAAACACAATATGCTTCAACATATGTTATACTTGAGAGCCACATGCAAACAAACATTCTTGATTCATCTATCATTATAGGCTTATAGCTATACACAAAGAAGAATATAATTGCAAAGCTGCACACGAGGCAAATAAATAGAATTATTTGAGGTGCGCTTGGATCCCATAAAACACCAAGGAAAGAAAATAAAGATAAGAAAATCTGCATTCTTGTGTTTGGCTTTACCTCAAACAAATGCAAAAGGGTAATGAAATATGATTAATGTGTTTAAAAGATTCACACATATTTTGAGTTTTCAATTGGGCCATAAAATTCAGGATTGGATTTGGGAACCTCTATTGGGCCATAAGACACTCAAAGTTTGAATCCAACCCTTTTGTTAGTTCAACTCATAGACTTATTAACCCATGACTCGCTCCTTAACTGAGCAATGTGTAATTCTAACAAATATCAAGAATAACTCATTTCAGGTTGAACAAATGTTTACTGTTTTCCTCACATTTCCATTCCAAAATTTCCCTAGATTTTCTTTCAATAACTTTATCCAAATTCCAGACAAACCTTAACGATCACAGAACACAAACACAATAACTTTTTCATACAAAAAAGAAAGAAAAAAGGAATCTTACGGAAGATAAATGGCCATTGAGGGGTGAATCTGCAGTCAAGGGATGACTATGGTTTCTCACAAACTTCCTCACCACTCACATGGTCCCATTTTTTTTCTCTCTGTATTAGAATCATTGCTTCACAACCTTCACGCTGTCTATAATGCTGCTTCATGCTTGCATCCTTTACAGTGTGCAGAACTTCTCTACATCCGAGTTCACGTGATATAACACATTTTTCATATTGAGACCTACGAGAAGATAATACATGGGTTAATACACATAGAGTGCTCTTCCTGCCGATTCAGACTCGAATGCCATGCCCTCAAATGGTTCTTGAACTCTGTTAGTTTCTGCTCTTCCAACCCCAACGTCCACTGAATAGTTGTATGTAATTTTATTCTTAAATAATGGAACATTCAAATTATATACTGACTGGAAACAGGAAATCTTTTTATGTCACAATAATAAGAAAGTTATGTATGCATGTGACACAAATTGTCCAGCACTAGCTTGACACCAGTCCATCATATACCATAAAAACCAAGCACACTTGCAAAGATATGATGATGTAAAAGTATGTTCCCTCGAAGCTCCGTTTGGTAGCAGATTATGGCTAGTTCTAATTAGCTTTTGACTTATTGGTTGAAATGGGTGTTACTCAACATTTTTCCTTCAATCTTGCAAATAAATTCTTCAAGAAATATGCAATTTTCAAATTCAGTGATTAAAGCATGTTTCTTGACATTTCGACATTAGGGTATCAGATTAGTTCAATATTTAAGTGAAATTTCAATGTTTTGCACTAAAACTAGATTTTCTACTAAAAATCAGCCCAAAGGAATTTTGAAACCGTTCTGTTGAACAATTTCCAAGTTATATTATATATACACTTGTACCCTACATGGAAAAAATATCTTTTGGGACTAAGGCTTGGATGTTGTTGTTGTACCCTACATGGAAAAATGAAGAAGCATACAATCAATCCAAAACTGCATCTTTTTACTGCCATCTTCCTATCTGTCTATCAGTCTATCTATGGACAAATGATACGAAACCCAAAAGAGAGAAACGTCCAAACATATTAATGAACGTGTCGAATTATTGAATGAGTTAAAATCCTAAATAGATGTTTTACAAAAACGTCAATCAAGTATGTACCTTTGTATATGCAAACAAATACGTACAGAAGTGACATGAAATAGATGTTTTGAAAGAGAGGGGAGGAAACAAAGAACTTACTAACAGGCATGTCCATTGCTGAAAATCTCCTTTGAAGAATGAGTAACAGTCATCGGTCAGTGCTTGGCAGCTTTTTTTATGAATGGGTTTGCGATCCATAATCCTGTAATATAACTTCAAGTTTGTTTAGTGCTAGACCTGCTGGTTGGGATGGGACATGGTGTCCATAGATACATAGGATCAATGCCTGCCAGGCTTATATTCGCTTAGGGAATAATTTAATCTCCTAGAAACATTTCCAACAAACAACCGTCAATTACTACTACGTCCCACTAATATTGAGGTACGAGAAAGTGATTTTAGGTACTTATTAAAAAATGAATTTATGTAATTGATATTGAATAAAGTAAGAATGATTTAGAATCACACAAATTTTATCAAATTTGATATGAAACAATCTTAATAAGACAAACTGAAAAGGAAATATGAGATCATATCTGGCAATGATCCTTGGAGCTTTTGAACTGAATTTGTAGATTTGTTGAAACATCTACTTAGTAAGCCAATGCAAGTCTCTAATAGGCTATGATGTCACCATCATTAGCATACATTTTTAGTGATAATGATGTCACTAGAAAACAAACTTCACTCTAAAATTTAATTTGTTATGGTGATAGTGCAATTTATCTCTTACACGTTACACAATATTTAACTATATTATAGAAGAAGAATTTTTTTACAAATATCAAATTAAATTTGAACAAAAGTATTTCACTTTTAATTTCATACACAACGTTTTAAGCATTTTAGATTTTTTGATCATTTAATCATTTTAAATTAGAATTTGGAAAAAGGATAGGACCGTATAATACTTAGAAAATGTATCAATTTATAAAAGTTTGTTTATATCTAATAGAAATCGCCTATATTAAAATAAAATAATCAAGCACACTCAAAGCAAAGTCAGTCTCATGCAAAATCTCAATGGTTATTACTGATAGAGTATACAGACTCAGACTCCAGGTCTCTCACGACTTTTGGGCCTGGACAACGGCTCACACACGCTTAGCGCATGTTATTTATAATATTGTAAGCTTATGATCATTTGTATCTTCTAGATTAGCTTTTTATATTATTAGTCTATTTATATAACCGGGTCTGTTAGACCCACATTAGAAGCCTAGACACGGATTTTCCTATATATACTGCCTTTGTAAATCCTAAAAGGGTATTCCCAAATGAATGACTCACATTCAAAACATTCACACTATTTCATCATACTCTCCACTTCTAGGTTCAATCTCTCCTAAATTACAACAACAACATCCAAGCCTTAGTCCCAAACGATATTGGGGTCGGCTAACATGAATCGATACATGATATCATCCAAAAATATTTGACACCACCCCCAGGCGGAGGGATGACGTGTCGCTTATGGGCGACGACCTAGCTGTAGCGATATTCATATTTCGATTCATGTCATGTGATGTGACTAGGTAATACTGTTGGCCGTCACGCGCTTACCACAGCACCCTCCTCCTTTATCCTGGCTTGGGACAGGCATGAAACCAAAAAAAATTGATCTCATGTATAGGAAAAATTGATCTCTCCTAAATTATATAGGAAAATACGTGTATTGTCATATGCCTCCACCTCCACATAGGATAAATTATACGGAGTAGGAAGTAGTAAAAAAATTCCCAAACGGATAAATTAGACTTATATAAGTAGTTAGTATTGGATTTTTATTATACAAAAAAACATAGATACAAGAATTTTACGTAATAGTATACCTCCTCCGGTTTAGATGGTTGAAGCAAATGAGGATGAGATAATTGTCCTGGTACGCCAACTAATAGTCCAATCTCTGCCCATACCTCATAGTCAAACATCGGATGTTGTGCCTGATCTGGTCCATATTTTTCTTTCATGCGTACATGATAAAATTACTGTATTACAGAATAGTAATGTAAATTAAACTATATCACAGTTTCCTCATTTCTAGAGCTTCTATCTATCCATTGAGTTTTCCCCTACTATGGGTGTTTTCGTACAAAAATCTGCTCTTCCAAAATAATATTAACATATGGGCAACAATACAAAGTAATTAGCTACACATTTAGAAGGATAAAGGTTAGATCACACAAAAAATTACTCTTTTACAATCACCATACCAATCAACGAGCATGGGTTGTCGGATGCGGCTGGTCTGTGTAAGGTCAATTGTACACCACTCATCAACAAAGTCCTCCATTATGGGAATTCGGCCAATTTCTACCGCCTATTAATTAAATAAAAATTAATCATAAATTATACATAGTACATCACATCCAAAAAAATCAATCCAAAACAACTTTAACTACTTACGATTTCAAAATAAAAAACTTCTCTTGACTTTCTACCTTTTGTTTTAGCAGGAACTTCACCCTCACCAAGGTTTCCTACATATTTGTTTAAGCTTTCATTGCCTAAAATACACTGGACCATAGTTATATTTTATTTACATAAAAGCTAAATCAAGCTGTGTAATGTGCCAGCTTAATTTTATATACTTAATGCAAACTGGATGTTTTATCTTACCAACACGATTACACCTTACAAATTCAGACTTCTTCCATTCATCAGAGTTCCAATAGTTGCATAATTTAACCCATGTGTGAGGAGTTACAAGCTCTGGTCAGTAGGGAATGAATCTTGTATAATATTGATCTTCAAGAAAATCTGGATTTTGTTTTTGTACATGTAGTCTCATATTTGACATGCGTGCCGTATAACGACTAGAAAACGTTGAATGAAGTTTGGAAATCATTTGTCCATTATCTGACGGTGTCCATGTATACTCTTGCTGCATAACAACCAGAATAGTTAGAATGTAAAACAAAAAAAAGATGCAAAATAATATTACAAGTATTTACCAAGAATCGTGATATGTATTCTTCACGAGCCTTAGGTTCCAAACTTCCATAGTTGGGTGGTCATCCAGTAAACAACTTTGTGACAATAGTTTTCTAAGACTTTTCACTTTATGATTTACTTTCAGACTACAAAAAATATTGAATAATAATGAATGTTTAATAACAGACATGTATCAGCTGCATTTATAGTTGAAACATTACAAGAATAATTGGGTATTTCAAATAAATTACTTACTCACCGACTATGATGTGGTCGCAGTGCTGTGTGTGGGACATTTTGTTGTGTCACGTTAGGCTACATAAACAGATCAGCCCTAGTAATTGAAGCAAATGAGGTGCTTGCATTTGATGCGGGGTGTTGGGTGAGTGATGACCATTCAGTCATATGTTCCCCTAAAGACAAGTTTCGGGTTGTTCCCGCACCAACAAAAGCACCATTATTTACTCGACCACGAATAGCACGCCCACCACCGTGCTATATAGAAGCCCTGGAAGACATGTCTTATGCTAAACACAATGGATAACACCCCTGTCAACATATACTATCAAAGATATTATGTACAATCCTTTATAGGGAGGAGTCTATAGTTCTGTTTTTGGGCAGTAACTGCAGGAATTATCTACATAAAACTGTTTTTTTCCTGCTAAAATTATTATGATTTATAACCATAATGATGTAATTAACATTTCTTTAAAAGCCTCAGATTGATCAACATTTTTATTATTATGATTTATCAACATTTATTATGCACCGCTGGTAAATGTTTAAAAAGCAACATTTGCGACATAGTTGTTGCGTTACCTTCATGTTCCATGTGTACTTTTCAAAGATTCACCATGTCTTGGTGGCAATGCCACTGGTCCCAAATCACCATAATTTCAGATGTGTCAATATGGTTGCTTATTGTGTTCAGACATTGGTATACCATTTCGGCAGCTGGTAATGATTGGTCATCAGCAAAGAAGGTGTGCATTCTCTTGTCAACTTCAATCCAGCTACAACCGGGGTTCTTCCTCAACCCAAGTTCTTTCATCTTCATTCTCATATCCATCACTTTGCTCCATTCCTTTTTAATTGCAAACATGTTTGCCATAACCACATAAGTTGATGGATCATTATAACCTTTCTGGATTAGAAGTTCTGCAACTTCCTCCCTGATACCTTCTTCTTCCTTGTGCATATAGCAAGCAGAAAACAGTGTACTTAACAACGAAACATCTTCTCTCATGGAAGGGTGTCTCTGAAGAATTCCATACACTTCACTTAATCTTCCGGAACGTCCTAGAAGATCTAGGAGACAAGAGTAGTCCTCAATTCCAGGTTTGATTCCATAATAATTAATCATTAAATTGAAATAATGGCAACCCTCATCAACTAATCCTGCATGGCTACAAGCCGAAATGACTGCAAGAAATGTGACCTTGTCAGGTTTAATATCAGACAGTTGGAGCATTTCATGGAAGAGGTGTAAAGCTTCAAGTGCCCGGCCGTGGGACCCATAAGCCACAATCATAGAGGTCCATGAGACAATATCTCTCCGGGGAAGATGGGAGAACACTTCAAAAGCTTCATTAACAGCACCACATTTGGCATACATGTCCAGTAGTGCTCCCATTACTATTTCATTTGAATCGAACTTATGATCAACTATACTATTATGAACCTCTCTCCCTTTATCTAAGGTTGTCAATTGTGAACAAGCCACTAATACACTAGTGAACGTGATTGCATCAGGTTTTATACTTCCCACCACATTCATGTCACTATAGATGTCAAGGGCATCCAAGTAAAATCCGGATGACACGAACCCAGAGATCATTGTATTCCAGGCAGTTACATCGCCTTTTGGGGTTGTACTAAAGACTCGTTTGGCGGTCTCAGCTTTTCCGCATTTAAAGTAGAGATCAATTAGCGAGCATTGAACAAACATATCGGTTTCGATATTGTGTCTGATGATGTAAGCATGGACAAACTTACCGTGCAACAGTTGGGCCGATCTGGAACACGACATCAGCAAGCTGGTTAAGGTTGTCAGAGAAAGTTTGATATCTTCTTCATTCATCCTCAGAAGAAGGTCAATGCACGCCTTGCTATCGCCTCTCAAACTATACCCGGAAATCATGGCATTCCAAGAAACCAAAGTCTTGTTTGGGATTCGCCTGAACACCTCCTCTGCTCTCTCTATATGACCGCATCTCCCAAACATGTCCACAAGAGCAGAGGAAACAAAACAGTCTGGGGAAACCCCATCTTTCGCAAGTTCAGCATAGATCTTCTCGCCTCTGTCTAAATCCAGAAGCCTTCCGCAAGAAGATATGGCAGCTGTGTAAGACACAGAGTTTGGCGTGCTTCCAGAATCCTTCATCTTCTCGAACAACTCTAAAGCTTTGCCGCACTCTCCACTTTGGTAATAAGATGAAATAAGAGTATTCCAACAAGCCACATCTCTGACAGGAATTTCATCAAACACCTCAGTCGCTGCTTTAAAATCACCCCCTTTTGCATACATTCCCACCACAGAGCTTGCAACGACCACATCAAACAAGAAACCAGTCTTGATCAAGCGGCCGTGTACTGCTTTACCGATTTGCACGTGGCAACCTAGACCGCTACATGCCTTAAGAACACTGGGATAAGTGTAGGCGTCGGGCTTGAGGTAAGGGGATAAGAGCAGTAACCTGATGAAGAGCTCAAGAGCTTCGATGAAGCCGGAGTTGCGGGTATAAGCCGCCATGAGGCCATTCCATAAAGTGATGTCCAGAGGGTTGTTAAGATTCTGGAAGACCAACTTGGCGGATCGGAAATCTTGGCAACAACAGTACAAATCTGTAAGGCCCTTTGATAATGGGATGCTGCTTTGCAAGCCGAGAGTAACAATTTTTTGGTGCAAAATCTTGGTCTCCTGTTTTTGAAATGGCCTGCAACTCCATCTCGATGCAGTACGCGATTTCAAGAGAGCTAAAACCCTGTAAGGAGTCATCTACATAAAACTGTTATTGAGGAAGACAATAACAATGTACCAAGCATCTAATAACTCTTAAACTCTTAAAGACCAATTCATATAATTACATCATTTCTTTATTAAATTAATACTACGTATTAGTTAAATATATTTTGTGAGGTCTGTTTTGGAAATGACATAAATTGGGTAAAACTCGTACCCCTATTTCATGATCATGAAACAACAAAGTAGAGGATTCAAAAAACCAGCAACCAGCAACAAAGTAGAGGATTTGAAAAAGTCAAAAATTTAATTGCGTATACAGAATATCAGAATACAAAATTAAGCCACACACTAGTAAAACCTGAAATAATGGATATGAGCTTGAACAACTAACTAAACTCCTTATACCACGGCCACCCAATTTAACTTTAACTGCAACAATACAACCTGTGGTAGTGACTAGTGAGTGTCAGTGTTCTCTTCCATGATAATACATCTCTTTTATGATTCTAATAACTTAGTCGATGATTGAAAGTAGCGGCGCTCAACATATTGATAAGAACGATAGAATAATGGAAGAGTTTGAGGTCGAAACATTAGGTTTAGGTGATTTAACCAAGGTTGTAAGGTCGCGACTAAGATTGCTAACTCGTACGATTTTACGACTTAAGGTTGTAAGGTCAAGCTGGATCGTGCCTAAGATCGGAAAACGCTGGGAGATCACTGGATCAACTGGTAAACTCGTAAGAACGTGGGATCGTCGATCTTCGTCGTTCATGCCTAGGGAAAGAATACGACTCTACTAGTCGGATTTCCGAAGCGACTCTCAGAGTTGGAAATGGAAAACGACGCAGGTTTTCAATTTTTTTAATATTTACGCGGATCCAACTCCTCAGGCGACGTACCTGAGCGACACCTTCTTCAGTGTCGCCTACTTCAATAAAATCTTTTCCAATCTCCAGTTCTCTGTATAATCTTCTTTTAAGTCCTCTCCAGTTTTTTAGAGAAGAGAGAGTTTTTTTTTGTGTTTGGTTGTGAAGTATCAGAACTGAGTTGCATGTCCTTATACTTTTTAAACTTCAATTATCATCCATCATTTAAATAGCAGTTATTCATTAGGTAACAAGACATAAATGAAATTTTATCAGGTAATTAAAGGCAGGTATTTCCGTATTTTTTCACACTAAACCATATTTATAATTCACTGCTATAGCAAATGAGGGATCCATCCATAAGTAGTAGTGAAATTTGTTCAAACTTCAAAGAACTTGCATGACAATTGAGATCATGCGAGACTTTACTCTAAACATGTATATTAATGACATATTTATTTTAACATTTAATTTTCCCTAATGGGAGTAATTGTTAACGATTTTCTTGTACTTACTAATACTATCCTTCCTAAGTCTGAAAATTTGTAATGGGCTTTATTGGGATGTGAAGCTGGTAAGGTTGGACGGCTTAACAGCAAGCCAACGGGATTCACACAGTATAATATGTCATGACTGAGAACAAAAGCAACCTCCCTCATTAACCTCTTCACCACACTCTATCTTTCAGTCCAAGACCCGGTTGCCGTCTATGGCTTGCATTCCCTGAATAAATGCAGGTGCTTCTTCATCGTTTTCCAGCTTTACAACCAATCAGGCTCGGGTAAACTGAACCCGCCACTCACCTTGAGTTCAGAGAAAAGCTAGAGAAGATGTGTCTACTTGGTGGGGATGGAAATGTCACTTAGGTGTGGACACCACGCCTAATGTCTTCAACAACCATTCTTCAAGGATTTGGTGTCTTTAAAAGGGGTGTTCAAATCCTACAATACTCTTCACCAGCTACGATATCAGGCGCTACGTGGTCATGTATAGGGGAAACCAGGAAGCATACTTCCAGGCATTTGTTTTAGGGATGACCAGAATAGTTGATCTTCACTCAGGCCGGCCTTGGAGAGACCAGAACAATCTGCCTGCTTGTCAATACTCCGCTGCTGCCTACCCAATAGTAATACATGTTTGTATGCTTATCAAAATACTAACACACTCATTACCCATTTATATCTCCCGTTATTTAAGAAACATAATCTTTCGTTTGCCAACAACTAAACCCAGTTTAGTTTTGGATTTAGAAAATTGACTTTCTTAAATATTGACATTAGGAAACGAATTAAAGTAGATACCTATAGTCCTATACTATATATCTCTTTGTTTAACCTCATACAAAAAAGTATCCAAAATCTTATAAGACGCTTACTTAAAAAAAGATGTAATTCAACTGTTTTATCAAACTTTACCTTCTATATATAGCAGGTCAGTTTTTTGTAAGTCTTTAGAAAAATAGAATTTAAAAATCTAAATATAAGAATAGAAAAAATAGGTAAAACTAAATTAAAAGAATAAAAGACATGAATTTAAATGTAAAAGTATTATAAAATGTTGAATATAATTTTAAAAGAAACAAAAAATGTTGGTTTACCAATTGTATATACTCTCGTTTGAAATCTCTTTCCTATCGCTCCATGTTCTTTGTAATTGAAAGTACTCTGCCACTTAATTGTAAGGTATCTAATGAATAAATTCTTTATTAAATTTTCTTCCTATTAAATCATCACTGAATTACTTGAGATTCAAAGTAGTATTCTAATTGATATTTGTAGTGTTAAATGTATTAAGACAAGCTGCATCTCTTTTTGTCCTATAATATGCCTGCGATTTTGATAATGTTGAAGTAAGGTGTTTGCATTTTTTGAAGTTTAAGTGAAGGTTGTTATAGTATAATGAAGTATGTGAAAGGTGTTGTATTTTAAATGGGGTATTTTGTCGAACATTTTGCAGGCATAAAATACGTGGGAAAAGGGTCAAATACACCCTTCTACTATCATAGAACCGTCACATACACCCATGTACTAAAAAAACAATCATATAAACCCGTTTACTTTTAAAATCAATCATTTTAACCAAATTACTTGGAGGGTAACCTATTCTAGCCGGTCACCTCTATTTACACAATTACACCCTTCTCCTCCATTCCCACCTCTACGTCCTCTGCATCTTAATCATTTTTCTTTCCATTTCGTCTTTATCAATTTATTTATTAATTTTCTATATGAGCAAACATTTTTAGTTTACCTCTACTTGTATATAAATTGCGTTGCCGATGAGGCTATTTTCTTTAACAGAACTCCTCTATTAAAGCTTAATCTAGAACTATTCTCACTGTTTTCTTATATATGTTTGACCACCAATAGATAACTCAGTCGTTCTTCAAACCCCAATTAATAATTTCGGTTTCTAAATTTGTGGCCAACTATATATATGTGTGTGTATGATACAGAATATATCATCGATGTTCAATAAAGAAAATGGTTGCCAAACAGAAATATTCCTATGTAAATTCTTTATTCATATGGAGCTTACATATGGGAATGTTAAGTAATACCATCACAACAACAGGGTTCTGAGTCTTCAACTAAAACTACACCCCTAGAATTTTAAAACCCATATGCAACAAAAATCAAACACGGGAGACTTAACAAACTCAATATTCAGGCACTGCCAAGGTCAAACGGTCAACTATATAGAGAGAGAAAGAGAGCGAAGAGAAGTCAGGACAAATATTTAAGAAAAGTAAAGAGAAAAGAAGAATAAATGAAAGAGAAAAAGTCAAATTTGCATTTAACCTGCTCCAGAGGGTTGCTTCCGGTAAAAATGGCTATATTGATGTTTTTATAAAGTAAAGGGGTTTATATGATTGTTTTTTAGTACATGGGGTTAGGTGACTGGTCCATGATAGTAGAAGGGTGTATTTGACCCTTTTTCCAAAATACGTGTTGTGTGCCGAATAATTTTGATGAATGAACTACATTGTGGAAAATCGAATTAGATGAACAAGACAGTTATGAACACACTACCAAAAAAACTCGTTATAGATACGGATTTTGGCTCGGAAAATAACCCAGACAAATTTGGCGCGGAAATAGGGACGGAAAGCAGAAAAAGTCGATTTGTTACTACAATGGCACGGCATTATCTGTGCCAACACGTTTGGCTCGGACCTTTCGACCCTACATCCGTGCCAAGACCGAAAACCTGTGACGTAGTTGGCTTGTGTTGATATCCGTGCCAACCGCCGCGACAATATGGCAGGGAAACCGATCCGTCCCAACGATTTTTTTTTTATTTTTAGAATTTGGCCCGGTATATATCCGTGCCTAATTTTTCCGTGCCAAACTCCGAGACAACCCCGTATCTTATTTGACTGTTCCACTGTCCGTCCCTATTTCCGTGCCTAATTCTAGCCGTTACGTTGGGTGGCATATATCCGACCCAAATGTAGTGCCAAAATGTAACCGTTAGTTTGACTGGAATCTGGCCGTCCCAAAACCGTCGCAAAGACCGGATTTCAAATAAAGTTTATTTCGTGCCAAAATCCGAGACAATGAGGACCGTTGAACACATTTTGGCAGGGGCATTTCCGTCCCAATTTCTGTGCCTACTAAATCTACAAATATACCAAGTTGGGATGTGAAGCAAACTACATCTCAGAAAATGATGTCTTCGATCTTTGTGTATGATGAATTCTGGATAGAAGTTGGAAGTTATATTACTTGATATCTGGAGGTTTTCTATATGGATTTCTTACTTTATATTACTTGGTATCATCGTTGTACTTAAGGTATGTAAATTACGACCATTGTGCTTTTAAATTAATTTGATCATATCCATATTATGAGTTGTTATCAGTATTATTTAATTTGTCTTAATTATTTTGATTGAATTCAAGTGTTAGCTTTAAAACGTGAGACATTGTCTTATCAATTTAATAAATTAATTTCGTTAAGATATACTGTCAAAAAAAGTTAATTAAGATATTTTTTAATATTCAGGCACAATGTATAGACAATCTAGAAGTTGGATGTATGACCGCTACAAGGAAAATGGTAGAGGATTGAAAAAAGTGTTTGAAAATGGAGTTAACGAATTTATTAGATTCGCACAAGAGCAAACACGCTATGCTGATGGAAGTAAAATAAGATGTCCTTGTACAGAGTGTAAAAATAACAAATTTGTTGAAGGTGATGAGGTTTGTTGGCATTTATATACGCATGGTTTTGTTGAAAACTATTACAACTGGACTGCTCAAGGAGAACCAATTGAGCCAGAGCTCTTGCCGCAAAACGTAGGAACATCGAGGTATGTTCCCGATGAGATGGCTAATTGGGGAAATTATGAAGAAATGGTATGGGAGCAAAAGATGCTTTATGATTTGGCTGGTCCTTCTACGTTTCCAAATATCCACACGGATAGTAATTTCAACGCACACAATAATATGAATGAAGGACCAAGCTCATCATATTATGATGTGGATGACTTAGGCACTAGATTTCAAGAAGTGCTCAAAAGTGCGGACCAACCTTTATATTCTGACTGTTATGATCATTCACAATTATCAGCAGTTTCTGAATTTCTTAACATAAAGTCAGAATATAATCTCTCTGAAAGCTGCATGTCCAAAATATTAAACTCAATTGGTAGTATGTTACCCCGTGATCATTGTCTTCCCGATAGTTACTACAACATGAAAAAGTTTGTTTCTGAGTTAGGTCTCCCTATGATCAAAATCCACGCATGCCCTGGAGGATGTATGTTATTTTGGAAGAATGACGAAACACTTATGCGGTGTAATTTTTGTAATGCGGATAGGTACAAGCCCATATCAGGTATGACTCGAAAAGCCCGAAAAAGATCTGCACCATCGAAGTTGATATATCTTCCTTTAGCACCACGTTTGCAAAGATTATATGCCTCAAGCGCTACCGCGAAACACATGACGTGGCATGTAGAGCATGACACTGAGGAAGGGTTAATGTGTCATCCATCAGATTCCGCGGCGTGGAAGCATTTTGACCGGTGTTATCCTCAATTTGCTTTTGAACCACGCAACGTCAGACTTGGGTTATGTTCTGATGGTTTTGCTCCTTACGGTCAATTTGGAGGGCAGTTCTCATGTTGGCCAATCATCATTACACCATATAACTTCCCCCCGGATATGTGTATGAAAAATCATTTTATGTTTTTATCATTAATGTGTCCTGGTCCTGGTAATCCAAAAAAAAGAATTGATGTGTATTTGCAGCCATTGATCGAAGAGCTGAAACAATTGTGGGAAGTTGGTGTTCCTACATATGATGTTTCGAGGGATCAAATATTTAATATGAAAGCTGCGATTATGTGGACCATTAGTGATTTTCCAGCATACGGCATGCTATTTGGATGGAGTACTGCTGGCCTTATGGGCTGTCCTGTTTGTATGGAAAAATCAAATGCATTTTGGCTAAAGAATAGCCGCAAAGCATCCTACTTTGATTGTCACAGGAAATTTCTTCCTCCTAATCATCCGTATCGAAAGGATAAGAAGTCATTCATCAAGGGTCGCAATGAACGTGATCCTCCGCCTCCGAGGTTAACAGGATATCAGATTTATGATCGTGTTCGAAACATCCCTTCTGCCATAGACGAGCCTCTTCAGTATCCAGATGGATATCGCCAAGATCATAAGTGGACAAAGAAAAGCATTTTCTGGGATTTACCATATTGGAAGGATCTTCTGATTAGACATAATTTGGATGTAATGCATATTGAAAAAAATGTTTTTGATAACATTTTTAACACGGTTATGAACTTCAAGGGAAAGACGAAGGATGGGCTTTCATCAAGGAAAGATGTAGCTTTGTTTTGTGATAGACCTGAAATTGCTATGGGCCCTGACTATGTTGGTCCAATGAAGAAAGCAGTTTATCAGCTGATGGACGAGCAGAAGAAATGCATATTAGAGTGGCTCATCCAACTACGATTCCCTGATGGATACACTTCTAACTTTTATAGATGTGTTGACTTAGAGAATTTGGCGATGAAGATTATGAAGAGTCATGATGCTCATGTGATGATGCAGCGCCTCCTTCCAATTGCATTGAAAGAAAATCTTCCGGATTATGTGTGGGCGTGTATTTGTGATGTTTCTCAATTATTTCAGTTACTATGCTCACCTGTGCTAGACATACAGGCAATTCAGGATCTTCACCGTAATGTTCCCACTATATTGTGTAATTTGGAAAAGATTTTTCCTCCATCCTTTTTCGATGGAATGGAGCATTTACTTGTCCATCTTCCATTTGAAGCAATGACTGCAGGGCCGGCTTGGTATAGGTGGATGTACGGCTTTGAGAGGTAAATACTTTTACATTTTAGTTATGAATATAGGTAGTTATGAATATAAAATAATATATTAATATTATAGTAAATATTTATAGATTTTTGCGCGAGCTGAAAAAGAAGGTGACAAATAAAGCACACGTTGGAGCATCCATATGCCAAGCATACCTCACAGAAGAAGTTTCCACATTCTCTTCCTTCTATTTTGAAAGAGATATCATGACTAAGCGAAAAAGGCCTGTCAGAAATGATAATGTTGATCCAGCATTGTATGAGCAAATGGTTTCTATCTTCAACTATCCGGGCAAAGGATATGGTAGAAGGAGACACCGTCGGGTTGTTGGAGACGAGTTTCGAATAGCACAAACTTACATTCTGATGAACTGCCCGGAAGTCATTCTGTATTACAAGTAAGTCAATATTAACGCACATCTTAATAAATTATTTTCCACACTAACAAACACTCTAACCATTTCATTTTCTTATAAAAATGTAGTGATTACAGAGAAATGCTTTCTCTAGCTGGTTATTCCAATGAGGTCATTGATGCGACGATCGACACTGATTTTGCAGCATGGTTCAAAACTACGGCAAATCAATAAGGTTTTTTTTTGCTAAAAATTTTATAGTATCATTACTCAACAACTAAATGACATTTGCAGATACTCCGTGAAGCTGAAAATTCTCCCGTTGATCCTTTCTTGGAGTCATTAGCATGGGGTCCTGAAACACTAGTGAGGTGTTGGTCTATATATTTTGTCAATGGCTACAAATATCATACACGGGCTTACGGAGACAATAAACCCACTATGAACAGTGGTGTGAGCGTGTCGACTTGTAGTTATGACAATTCTGAGACTAGTTTTTTTGGATATGTCGATGAAATACTGGAAATGACATTCACTGGCCACAACAAGTTATCGTGTGTGTTATTCAAATGCACTTGGGTGGATCCAGTGAGGGGGATGAAAAAGGATCACAAACATAACTTGGTGGATGTTAATCATAGGCGTGTGTATCCGAAAAATGAACCTTTCATATTAGCTCAACAGGCTGTCCAGGTGTATTACGCGGAATATCCGACGACACGGATCAATCGCACTGGCTGGGTAAGTGTTTGCACAATTAGACCGAGAAAAGTTGTTTCTCACGCGACACAAAAAAATGTTGATATTGATGTTTACCAACAAGAGTTTTTCCAAGCCCCAGTTCCAGACATTATTGAGGATATGTTTTTGAACGATTCTACTGGAGCACAAATAGAACTTGACCCCAACGACGCCAACGAGGGAACTGAATACGAAGAAGAAGAATGGGACTTTCAAGCGGAAGATACTGATGATGATGATGATGAGTACGCTGATCGGATCGACTCTGAAGAAGAAGAAGAAGAAGAAGAATGAATGAATGAATTGTTTTATTTTCATGACTTATTCCAAATAAATTAATTTGAGTAGTCTAATTTGTAGCGATTCTCATTATTCTCATTTCAATCTTCTCTACCTGCTGTAATCCGAATACGTCTGGTTTGTATACAAACACGACTTTTATTACGCAAAAAGCGAACGTTTTTATTTAAATAGTTAAATAAATAAACTATTTTAACTTAAATACAAACACGAATTTTATGACGCAAAAAGCGGACGTTTTTAAATAAATAGTTAAATAAATAAACTATTTTAACTCAAATACAAAGACGAATTTTATTACGCAAAAAGCGGACGTTTTTATTACATTAATTTTGGTCGAAACATAATAAAATTACTGAAAGATGAAACGATACAAGATAATACATATCACATAATTAAACAAATTATGATAATAACAGTACATAATAAAACAAGACACCAACTTCATTCTTCAAACTGCCTTGCTACCATGATCTTCACTTTTAACCTCCGTTTCACTTCGTTTTTCCATTAACTTTCTAATTTTCTCAGTTGCAGCATCATCAACAGGCTTCATATATTTAAGTATTTCTCCCAGCCTATCAATTTTTTTTCCCAAGGCATCAAAATCACAGCCCCATATTTTTCCCCCACTTGAACCTTCAGATTTTTCCATAATATATCTCTTTCTAATTTCACACTTTCTAATCTTCTTTGCCACAATTATAAATATTTTCACCGTAAGACATATTTATAGTACAAATTCGACATTTGGCAAGGAATTGGGTGGGATATTTCCGTCTCAAAAAGGCTAATTCCGGTAATGCAAGTCGTTGGCACGGAGATCGCCTTCACAAATCTGTCCCAAAACCGTCTGACATAATAATTACTGACCGCACAGAGTTTCAGACAACTTTTCTGTTTGGCACGGCAAGTTCCGTGCCAAAATCCTTTTCAATTTAAAATTAATTATTTCCGCCTGTCTGTTATCGTTTAGTGCGCCATTGGGACGGATATTTCCGACCCACACTGCCGCCAAATGCGAATAATAACCCGGAATAATCTAGAAATGCTTTGGGCACGGAACTTGCGACGGATTAGGCCGTGCCAATTCAAATAATTCAAATTCAAATTTCAAATTAATTTTCCCCACCGTTTCGTTTTTTTTTTGCACGCTTTGGGGACGGATATGACCGTCGCAAGGTCCGTGCCAACACCGCACAGTTATACAAATACTCTAGAACGGGTCTGGCTCCGTCTTTGGGACGGATATTTCCGAGCCAAAATACGAAGTACATAAACTAGCCTTAGCAGATTTTGCCCAAACCCTAGGCCATTACTTCTGTCTTCCCCCCTCTCCGCCTCTATTTCCTCCGCCCACTACGAACTCCGGCCACCACTTACCCTTCCACCCCCTCCATCTCCCACATTGAACTCCGGCCACTACATACTCTCCCTCCATCTCCCACAACGAACTCCGGTGACTATAACTTCTTTAAGCAGTTACTCCGGCCACCACGAGGCATTCACCGGCGACGCTAGGATCCATCCATTCAAGCAGCCCCTCTCCTGCATGCCGTGTTTGTAGCGACCTCCGTCCACGACGAAGTTTGTTTCTCCCTCACCGGCCATCGTCTTTGCTCTGTTTCAAGGTCATGTCCCCTTAAAAACTCTTTGGTTACGTTTTTTCATATTAAATTTATTTCAACGTATAGTTAACTTACGTTTTATTTAAAGTCGTTATTTAAAAAAATAATTATCTTAAAAAAAGTAGTTTGTAATTGATTTTATATAAACTATTTATGGTTTATAAAGTATTATCATCTATATAATTTTAAATGAAACTTTAAACAGTTATCATCTATATAATTATTTTTTACGGTTATCAACAAGTTATCATCTATATAATTATTTTATATACGGTTAAACAGTGACTTTTATAATTATTTTATAATGTTAAACAGTTATCATCTATACGGTTATCATTTTTATAAACTTTTCTATAATATTAAAGTGACTTGTTTATTATTTTTTAATTAGAAACGAAGTATATTTACAACATAAAATTTTGACAATGGTATTTATAAATAGAAACAAAGTATTATATTTTTTTACATATTTTTGTTTATATACTTTTTAATTAAAAATGAACTATTATAATTAACATAAAAATATGACAGTGGTATTTGATGAAGTATTTATTTATTTATATTATAAACGAAGTGATGTAACCGTTTGTTCATAATTTTAATTTATTACAATCCACCTATTGTAATCATCTTGTGCATGAAGTAATTATTATAAATAAAGTATATAAATTCCCAACTCTTATATACCTCTCAGTGCTACACTCTTAAGTTAACTAATAATATTGTTAAACCAATGATGATAATTATTAAAGCAGTAAAATCGTATATACAAGATGTAGAATTATACTCCGTAAGTTAGTAATCTGTCTTTTAACTCATAAGTTGTTTTATCCATCTGGGAGTTTGACAATCTGTGTACTACTCCTCCTTATATAACTAAATGTAACAAGTTGTTTATATTTTTAAATCTATACTTGTATTTTGTTATTATTTGGTTAAAACCTAACTATTTTACTTGTCTCTTTCTATAAATTTGTTATACATTTCAATAGAATGTCTGTCCGTAGAGGTTCATTTACTTCGTTTACTTCCATGCGCGGAGGTCGGGCAGGTGGGGGTAGCCCACACACAGTCCCGGATGAGCAGCCCTCTCCTCAACCTGATTCGCATGAGTCTGTCCAATCCCGACACCTTTCTGATCATTCAAATGGTTTTGATTCTTCGATCCCTGATGAATCTGTTCCGAATAAGACCTTTATTTCACCCTTTGAAATGAGAAGGTAAAGAGTAAAACTGCATTATGTAATTCTTATTTAAAGGATTTCTACCTATATATTACTAATATGTGCTTTTACGATGTAGCAATCCTACTGTCCTCAACAACATCATTTCAATCTTGACTAACAATTTTCACGGTCCGTGGCGTTCTTATATGAATGCGGATGCCGATCAACGCAACCGTTGGTGGAAACTGTTTCAGGTATGTGAAACATACTAACACTTACTTTTGATTTGACAGATTGTGAGTTATTGCTGATCAACTTGTTTTTGAGTTTTCAGAGGAAGTATGAGTGGGATTCCTGCTTTAATACCAAAATGAAGAAGAAGTTCAAGTCTCGGGCCTCTGAATGGCTAACCAAAACATTGGTAGAGCTAGGCGTGACAACAAAAAGCCGGACTAGATTGGTGATGGAGATTGGAAGGTGTTGCAAGAGTATTGGTCCTCTGATGCTTTTAAGAAGAAAAGCCGTGCTGGCAAGAAGAACAGAAATTCCAAAGCAGGGAAAGAATCACAGTATCGCGGTGGAAGGATACCGGTGATTGCGCATGTTGAAAGGCTGGTTAGATTTCTGTTATAATTTTGAAAAATAAATAAGAGTTTTTTATAACTATAATGAACTGGTAATTGTGTACTGTTTAAATTCGTAGACAAAGGAGTTGAATAGGCCCCCGCTGAAGATTGAAGTGTTTGACAAAGTGTACGTCCCGAAATCTGGTGACCCCCCGGCACGTGTAGTTGAAACGAAGGTATATATCAGTTTGTTTTCTTACTATTATATATTATAGTTATAGTATATTTGACTCCCCTGTTTTATAATTGTGCAGCAAAAATACAATGAAATGAAAGCCCAGGCTGAGTCTCAAGGGAAATCGTACGAGTAGGATGATTCTGAGCTGTTTTGTGCGGTGGTGCCGCTGTACAAAGGCAGGCGGTTTGGGACAGGATCTGAAGCCGAGGCGATGTCGGACGTTGAATGTTCTAGCAGGATATCGGGGCCGACTCAGCAGGAAATTGATTCCCGCATCAAGGAACAGCTGGAAGCCCGATTTGTGGAGCAGGAGAAGCAGTGGCAAACCCAGATGGCGAAAATGACTTCTGTGTTTACGGCGTACATGCAAC